TGAGATCTAGAAATTATTGACATTCCTAAAGTATCAAATGTTGATTTTTTAATTGGTAACACTTTTAGAAGGTGGAGATTGCCGGATGCATTACATTGTAATAATTTTTTCAAATGGGGAAATTTGCTTTTGTTTATTTCAAGCACTGGCTGATTTATCTTCTTATTTAATTTGTAGGTTAGGAACTTTTTTAATAATCAACGATCACGAATGAGGAGATTTGTCAGATTGTCAAAAGGGAAGGCAAACAGATCCACTGCCTGCAATGAGATGAATGATGGGGTCCCCTCAACATCGAATCCCATTGTGCTTGCAGAACCTGTTCCGATACACAGTGTGGTTCCTACAAATATTCAGGAAGGACCTTCTTGCTCAACACAGGATGAGGTCCTTTCTCATGTGAACGACTCAGATAGATATTTCGTAGATAATATATTTAGTTTAATGAGGAAAGAAGAATTGTTCTCAGGGCAGGTTAAATTGATGGAGTGGATCCTGCAAATACAAAATTCTTCAGTGCTATATTGGTATTTGTAACTTGCCTTTATGAGTGGAACAATTTAAGATTATAATTCTGGATTACTGCCTCTAATCATATAGTATCTCCTGTATTTACAGGTTCTTAACTAATGGCGGGGTGATGATTTTAGCAACATGGCTAAGTCAAGCAGCTTCAGAAGAACAAACAAGTGTTCTAAATGTTATTCTCAAGGTCTTCAGCATTCATAGTGTTGTTTTACTGCATACTTTGCTAAAATATCTTTCAGTAGTTTTAAAAGTTAATTTTAAATTTATAGGTACTTTGTCACTTGCCACTGCAGAGGGCTCTCCCTGTACACATGTCAGCAATATTACAAGGCGTTAATAAACTGCGGTTTTATAGGAAATCAGGTGTGTTCTTTTGCTTGTAAAATTGTTCCTTGGCAATGCATCTCTCATTAACTGGAAATAAGAGAAGAATCCTGATATATTGATGTATTAATGAATTATCGTTTCAGATAGTAAAATGAGATTCATAGATCCTAATATTCACTTACAGACTGGTCAACAATGAATAATTATTTTATTATTCTTGTTTGCGTGATTATACTGAAACTAATGTGGAATTATCTTATTTACGTCCACTCAACACACTCAAGATTTTTTTTTTCTCTAATATTAATATTATAGTCCACCTTAGTTTGTTAATAGATTAAACACTCAGTTCTCTCCCATTTATAGAGCTCTGGTATTTACATTCCTTTGCTAGTTTTTCTCATTTTTCTGATTTGAAGATCAGACATCTCAAACAGAGCAAGAATGCTATTAGCTAGATGGAGCAAGGCGTTCGCAAAGAGCCAGGCTGTGAAGAAACGCAATGGGATGAATTCTGCTGCTGATGCACAAGATGAGATGCTATTGAAGCAGAGGTAAGCTGATTTTTTCTTTTCTTTGTCTGTTGAAATTACTGTATTCTGACAGTTAGTTTGTCATGCTATGCAGCATTGATGAAGTTATGGGCAATGAAGCACGAGATTCAAAAGTTGACTACTTTGTAAGTTTTTTGAGGATGCTAAATTATTTGCTCAAATCGTAACTAATGTTGCAGGACTTATTCCAAACATACAGGGCAATGCTCTAATACCCTTTGAATATCAAGACAACTTAAGGTATGTGACACTCTTTTATTTCCATACAGTTGTTTGTGAAATATGATTGTTGGAGACATTTTAAGCCCGCATTCCTTTTCCAGGAAGTTCAGACCTTCTCAGCCACTGAAATTGATCGCTGCATCAACATATGACAACAAAAGGCGAGGTGTTTTGTCGTCACGTATCCTTCTTTTTTCCCTTGAATTAATCAGAGAGCTAATATAGGTTTCTATATTGAATTTTCAAAATTTTTAAATTTTTTCACACAGTAATTTCTTTATTGAAGCTTACGCACCAGAAGATTTTGTTTATTTATATATTATAAATTGGCATTAATCCTTTGAGAGTTTGCTATTATTTGTTGCTTTTAAGTTGATTCTTCTAAGTTACCGCTGCTCCTTCGGCGATTAAAAGCTTTTAGTCAGTTTTTAAGTAAACCAATGATGTGCAGTTATGCAAAAGCTGAACCTAGGTGCGCCACTAAAATAGGCTTTATTAGGAGCTGCATAACTCTACCGATGCTTTGACTGAGATAAAGTTAATGCTACAAAATTTTATGGTCAGAAATGGCTTATCATTTCGGATGTACAGCTACATGGTTCAAACTTGTAGAATGGAAATGCTCAGCAATATGGAATGACGATGGTCCTGATGACTATAATGGCAAAAAATTTTGAAGTAGTGTGTTTGATGAAAGTTAGTCTGTTGAATTACTGCTATGCAATGTCAATTGAGAAATTGGTTTCTTGTTTTTGTTCTGGCTTTTCTGAAACTATTTTTGCTTCATGGGGGGTTGATAAATGTTGAAAAATTTATTGCTAAAATGCTTTTACAAAAACTATTCAGTTTGTAGAAATGAATGAGGTAAATGTCTATGCCTTTGTTTCGTAATTGCATTAAGTGCACATGATGTTGCTTCAATGAGCTAAATTCTGAGCCAGCCTGGAAATGAATACCAATAACTACTGATTATGTGACATTATAATTAGCCCACTCATGTAACCTCATCCCTTAATATTCTATGTGACACAATACCATATGAAATGTTTGGCAAATTATCATTCAATCAATAAGCTGATGAATTAAATTCCAGCCCC